CTGAACGGATCATCCCCACTCCAAGTTGGAGGGGATGATTGGAGGGGACGTGTGCACACGTATTGGAAATGTGAACCGAATATTACCGAATCTCACCGGAAAGAGTCGAAGTCAGACGAGTGATCCCCTTACCGCGATTATCAGTTACCCCTCGTAAAAAGGCTCCGTCTATAGAAGTCTATGACGTAAACCCGAATCTAAATGCACGTTCCTAAACTTAATAAAAAGAAAAGGTGTTGCAACCATTCTGTCCACCACTGTACACCACACGCGCGTGCGCGCGTGTCAAGCTACACTAACTACACTAGTAAAAAAAAATTGGAAACACTTTTCTCATTGTTCTAAAGATCTTTACGAAATATAAAAATAATTATTACAACTTATTAAGATCTGAACAGTAATATAAAAATTTATTAAAAAATATTGATTCAAAAATTTTAATTTTAAAGACAAATATCTCGGAAATAAAGCGTTATAAAAAAAATTATATGAACTTGTGAGGTATTTTTACTTACTCCACGAGTCCACGAGAAATTGACAGCCTTTACCCGTACACCGTATATTGTATATGTATATATTTAATATACATACATACATTGGGTTGATGCATAAGTTCGTCCCGTTTCGCACTTTATATTCGAATTCGATCTGCTATCAATTTCACATTTATATGACGTATTAAACATTTGAAAGTAGCAATTGAATGAAAACTTTACTGTCAAATTTGTTGTCGTCGATTTATGTTTGTGAGTCGTGTAAATTTATAAAGATAGATAAAAGTAAGCATCACTTTCGGCATATTATGCTTTTTAATTTTCGAAAAGGCAAAACTACTGTTCGATCATACCAAAAGAAAAATAAGTTTTCTCTATGGAGAAGATGCTATTGATGATTCAATCGTTCGTAAATGATTCCGACAATTCCGTAATGGTACTTGATATTTTTTATAATAAAAAGCAAAACTCGATCGATTAGTCGATATTCTTTTTTCTATTACGAAATCGATTAGTGTTGATGTTTTTAGTTTCGATTAATCACTAGCAATAATTTTTTGTTCGATGTTACTAAATTTTGTTACTAGATTTTACTGCACATATAATACACTATACGCTATACAGGATAGGTGGCTGTTGCGCATGTTGCGCGGCAAAACGCGAGTTGATACTCAAAAGAATGCTGTCACGCAATAAGAAGCCAAACATCATTTTCGCGATTTTTAGTTCTGTATTGCAAATCATGAAGTCCTATAGTATATGAAAAAATTATTCAATTCTTAGCTGTAAAAAACACATAGCACGTGGAATTATCAGAATTTTATTTCTAATTGTAAGAATATTATGTTGCGAAATTTGCTCTAACAATATAGAGGAAACCATGCTTGAATTCACAATCAATTAATTTCTTTACTTTTACTCCGATTAACCTCAAGAAACATTTATATAACATTTTATTAACATAGATTATTAAAGTTTTGCTTATAAAATAATTTGACATACGAAAAGAAAAATTAGATTAAAGATGATGAATTATGTAGTTAGAAATTTTGTTGTCAACACTTATAGCCGATGGAATTAATAACTAATCAAAATTTGGTCGAAGTCACTTCTGAACTATAGCATATTAGGTCTATTTTAGCAGAACTTCTTACACCGTTTATCTTTTCTTTCCTATCTTTTCAACGTAAAGAGAAAAAAAAAGAGGAAAGATAAACAGTGCTTAAGAAGATAAAAAGAAGCTTATATAAATTTAATAGATATTAAATAATTATAAAAGAATTACTCGATTATTATTCCTATTTTCGAGAGAGAATCGTAATATTTTGAAACTGATTAGTCGAACATTGATTAATTTTTTCAACATTGTCCGTCCTCCTATATTAATTATGTATTTGATAGAGTCTTGTCGATCATTTCTCATCGCCGCGCGTCCTACGTACACGTACCGCTATCTCTAGTGATTAATTTGGTATTTTTTTTCATAGCTAGTTCGCGACACGCGAGAGACGCGTGTGTACGATCGATCTTGAGTGTCGCGGTCGTCGCGGCGCGCTCCGCCGATCGCGGAACGCGGGTCTACGGTGGTTACGGTGCGACGACGGCGCTCTCGGGCGGAGTCGGGCGCGCCTTCGGTGACGGCGACGTCATGGCGCAAGATGGCCGCCGGTATCGGGAATGGTGTGTCGTAGACGAGGCTGGGCGGTACGAATTCCGGAGAATAGGTGTGTCGGTGTTTTGACGTTACGTGCGAGATAACGCGCTATTAGGATGATGCCCAGCCGCGTCATTGTCGTCGTCGCCGTTGCAGGCTAAACTCGGAGTTTCGGCGCCGTGCAGCGCAGTGCTCGTGTACGAATCGTATGTACAAATCGGCGCCGCGCGTCTCATCCGGTCTTGTTCTCTCTTTCTTTTATTTTCTCTCCTCTCCTTCTCCCTCCTCTCCCCCCCTCTCTCTCTCTCTCTCTCTCTCTCGCTCTCTCTCGCTCTCTCGATGTCGGTGCTAAGTAAGCAAACGTCACGAGAGTCTCCCGGTTCAGGAGATGTTAGATCTCTCTTCCGCGGATCTCGGATACTGTATGTTCACGCGACGAGGACGAGTTCCGCGAAAATCCGTAGCGCTTGATTAAAAGACCAAAAAAAGAAAAAAAACAGAATTGGTGAGAATGGAAGTACCCGGTAACTCGACATGCATCTAGACATCCGAGAAAGCCCCGGGATAAAGTGGCGCCGACTTTCTTCCAGGTGATAATTATGCCCCGTCCGGTGTCAGGCTCCTGGTAGACGAGCGTTGGGTCATTTAAAAGTGCAATCGAAAATCTGATCACCGCACCGAATTGAAGAAGACGGCGAGCAGCAAGATACCTTGGGTGGGAGACTATCACTCACTCACACACACACGCACTCTCTCACTCTCCCCCCTCTCTCTTCTCTCTCTCTCTCTCTCTCTCTCTGATTCTCTCTCCCCATTCCCTCTCCCTCTCTCTTTATCTATCTCTATCTCTCTCTGGTTCCCAGTGCTTTACAGAACTGACCAGGGATGCAGCATTACTACTAGTGCTATTACTATTATTATTATTGCTATACCATTGCCTATGTAATCGACTAAATTGTCAAAACTACTCAGAAATTAGACTGGAGAAGAAGTGCAAAAAAGTGATAGTTGCATTATATCTTACAAAAGTACTGTTTTTTGAAAAAAAAGAAGAAATTTAATCGAAATGAGAATAGAAAGAAGTGTCATTGCGTTCGGAGGTAGACGGATTATCTGTTTTGAAAGTGAAAGTATGAGATCGCGAGAAAAATAAAGATTTACAACCATAAATTTGCAAGACGACAAGATATCTTTTCAAATGCAAGCGATCGGATTGTGCGCGGAATATTATCTTGAGATTTTGTCTACGGAGACGTGAATAATGATCAGAAGGAAATCGTTCAGTGGCCTTGGTGATAAATGTTTCCCGCAAGGAAGGATACACTGTGCGGTAATTCACAGTTAATGTGTTATCTGCCATAGTACTAGATACGAAACTGGTCAAATCAGAATCGATCCCCAATTAATATCGTCGAATGGAGTGCAATATTAACTCCAGAATCTGAAGAACATTATCGTACCGTTGAAATCGGGAGAACGAACAAAAAGCGTATCAAAAGCTAAACTGCAAAATTCCAACTGATCGAACATGTAGGAAGGAGCCGCCACAAGGTGAACGGCGGCCTTCGAATTCGACCGACAGCGCGCGTGAGCTTCCCCTCCTCCCCCCTCCCTCCCTCTCCTCTCTCTCTCTCTCACTCGCTCACTCATTCACTCGTATGATTAAAAGTCGCGAGATTGAGCATGTACACACCAAGCCAGGACAAACGTGTATACGGTGCACGCGGCGAGAAGACGTTTATTACAGCGCGACGTACGAGTCCCTGTCACTTGCACGATCGGCGAAGCGAATGCGCCTCGTGATCGGGAAACGTCGGCTTCCAAGTCGCGACGGTGGACGAGCGCTCTCGATCGAAGCGGGCGCGATCGCGTGGAAACCTCCGCCAAGGGAGAGATAGAGACGCGCGTTTTTACTACGGCTTCATGCTCGTAAGCGGGGATGCTTGACTTGCATGACGGTCGATTTGATTAAAAAAAAAAAAATAATTACCCCGCGCGATGAACGAGAAGAAACCGAATGAGTTAATCGCGGATTATATCGGAGATACATGTCTCGCGGGGCATAAAAGCTGTGAATTGGTTGGTCGTCGACGACGAGCGCGAGTTTCGTGGAATCGGCATTTGTCCGCGCACGCGTGAAAAGCACTTTCTCGTAGAAATTGAAGTAGACCGATGACACAATAGAGGTATCATACAAAGCTGTAATCTGTATGTATCTGGTATATGAGAGAGAGGGAGAGAGAGAGAGAGAGAAAGAGAGAACAGTTAAAGCGTAAGGAGAATGAGATAAGCTTGACAGGGAAAAGAAAAATGGAAGAAGCTGTTACGTGCCGCAGCTCACATCTCGCATATTTATTTTATTTCAATTTTTTATTTTTATTATTTATTACTTTATTTGTAAAATTTTTTACAAAACAGTTTTTCCTGAAACCCTTAAAGCGCGTAGCAATTATTACCGATTTTTGCTTCCTCGTTTGCGCATTATACGTTACGCGCGCGCGCGTGCTACGTGTGTGTGAGAGTATAGGTGGTGTATGTATGTGTATGTGTGTGTGTGTGTGTCATGGATAAGTGTAGATTACGCGCGCGCATACTACACATCATTCTGCATGCGCTTGTATCACGCGCTACGAATGGTGCGCGTGGCTGTTAGCGGCGCGTGCGTGTAATTTGCCGGTAATTCTCCCGCAGATCCATTACTTCCGGGGTGTGAATAATAACAAAATAATATAATAATTTCGACGTGCGCGGAGAAACGACCACGCCGTGACAACGACAGCAACGCACGACGTTCAAAATGTGGAATATGATGTGTGACGTGATGCCGACGATTGCGGAGGACAGCATGAGCCAGCGGAGCTCGCAATTCTCCGGCGAGGATGGGAATATCGAACAACTGATGGTGCAAATGCTGGACGAGCGCGATAAGATGATGGAATCGATGCGCGAGCACCAAGAACGGTTGCAGGAGATGGAGGCGCGATTGGCGGAGGTCGAGAAGGAACGGGATGCCTTGAACCGTCAGCTTAATGCAAATATCCCGCAGGTAAATTAATCCTAATGTTTATCTGCAATCGAGCGCGCGCCATGATTTGGCGTGTTTTGAACGACACGCGTTATCGTAGAACCTGTCTTCAGTAAAGAGCGAACGTTCACAGGAAATGTGTGTAAAAAGTTGCTTTGAAAGAAAAATACAAGGAAAATGCCAAATATATGTCCGCTTGTAGGAATATGACGGTGTTATTCTAATACTACGCACATCTTTTTTTCTATATTATATCCCACTGTGAAATTTGGAAGATTTCGTCTTGATGATTTCATAGAAAAATCTCAAGAAGTTAAATTCAATTAAGTTATCGAGAAATAATTAATAGATCGTTTTATTTGATGGGCAGCAATTTCGGACAAATAGTCGCGTGCGGTGATACAATGCAGCAACACGGGATTAAATTTGCAACATCTTTTCACAGAGATTCTTTTCAACTGTGCTATATGCCAATCGCGGATCGTTGCAATCGCTGAAACGTTTACGTAACGAACATGCCACAGAAGCTGATTTATATGCAAACTATACTCGCATACACGTTATCGTTGTAGTTGTCCTACTTTCGGCAAGATATACGCGTTATTAACGCTGTAATTAGTTCCTTGTTTGGTATATTTTACTTTACCGTTCATATATTTACGCGTTTCTTGCAAACAATGCCATAAATATACTTGCCGATGTTCCGATCTTTCAATACACACAAGAAGAACGAACTTATTGATTTCTTTGTGTTCACATTAAAGATACACGTGGGAAATGTTGGATACTTTAGCGAATCTTTTCACTAATTTGTAATAGATTCTACTTTAACGAAACATCATTGCATTACTCGTCATGTTTGTAACTTTCAAGTTTGTAAATGATGGGACCTTATTTTTCATTTTACTTGATTATATAATTATAGCTGATGAAAGTGAATGTGTATGTTTTACAATTATTGAAGTAGATAGGGTAAAGGCACCTAATATCGCCTACCAAAACTCAAATTGTTCTCACTTAATTTTTTAGATTTTAACCGTTAATCTATTGTACATGAAACACAAATGTTTCCTCTTTTATTTGAGACTAAATACAGTCTCAAATAAAAGAGGAAACATTTGTGTTTCATGTACAATAGATTAAAACGGTTAAAATCTAAAAAATTTTAATCCACATTGAAAAGAAACAAAAACGGTAAAATCTGGAGTTTGAAAAAATGACCACTAATATCGCCTACCTTATAAATTTTTATAAAATCATTGTTTATCAATATGTATGAATTTGTGAGGCTGTAGATATTTATTATTTTATATCATATAAACGTTTGTAGGTGTTAAAAAAGTTTTTAATTTGTGATTATGTTTAAAAATATTTTTATCATATATAACACTATTTCGAAATATTTAGACATCGAGTCAATTTGTACTCTTTTTTTTTACTCTTAAAAATGCATGCACATAATATCGCCTAGGCACATATTACGGACCCATCCGTAGTAATATGGTAGGCGGTACTGAGTGCATCCTAATCTAGACACTAAAAACATTGTAGCAAAAACATACATGTTGAAACTGGTTAGAAAAATAGTAAAGTATATCAATAATTATATATTCTTAGTGAATATTTGTACGTTAAAAGCATGTTCGAACTTACGTTCTCACTATGGGATGTCGAACTTGCATTGTCTGCTAAATTTTTCAGCACTCAAAATTTGTTTTCATGCGTCTCCTGAGTCAGACGTTATTTCTATAACATTGTAACTATAATATGCCTTCTTACACATGTTTAGCTACTAATTCTATGTATTGCCGATTGATATCAGCACTTCGTTCACGAGATATCACGAGTGGCGATGTTACGTTCTGGGCGATATTAGGTGCCTTTACTCTGTATTCGAAATTAAAAATATCAAAATTTTAAACAAACAATTAGATGAAAAATTCTTATCTATTATTGTTTTCTAATGCAAGAATAATTTACCCAAAAATTCCATGGTATAAGATAATTTAATAATTTGGAGATCAACGAAATTATTTTTGGTGGTACAAAATAATGCATGATGAGTAACAAATAATACGAAAAAGTTAATTTGATCTAACTTATTTATTACTTAAAGAATCGAGGAGATAGATCATATTATTGGGGCTAATTGAAATAGAGGCTGCTGTTTTAAGGAGACGAGAGAAATATTTTACTTTGTTTTCAATGGTAAAAATTAATACAAATTCAGGACTGACTATTTCTGCTTTGTGTTATTTTTTAAATTAGTTTTTGTGGTCCTGCTAGCTTCATATTAAGTTAGCAGCGCCACGATGTTTTCTTAAATGGCATGAGGTATAAAAATATTCTTGGTGGTACAAAGTAGTACAAAATAAATACTAAATAATCGAATAGGTCGCATTCGATTTTGCTCATTGGATTCTGCCAGCTTAAGAGAGCTAATTATGGAAAATGATTACAAATATTCTATGCTTATCATTCGTGTATGTGAAGCTAGCGTCTCATTTCGTGGAAACTCATTAACTATTGAGAGTTCTGGCTTCTTTTAGAATAGTTCTAGAGTTCCTGATACATTAAACACATAGTTCT